TGTAGTTGACTCTTAACAGCCCTTTTGGCAATTAGAGATGGGCAAGAAATGCAGGCCTAGTCAGCAAGGCACACCTCCCATGAATGAATTAAAAAAAGGGAAAAATGCAGAAGAAAAATAGAGGCAAATACGTAAATATTTAGAATTGAGTCATGGCATTTTGTGGGGCTGATATGTCCTAGTTCAGGAAGTTGAACCATTTGACCTGACTGGTGATACCAATACAATCGCCGTGAAACAGAAACCATGGCTGAAGGAGTTTGAAGCGTGTGCTGATGGTCATGGCTTGTTGATTGAGACAGCAGTTGTGCAGAAATGTGTCTCATTGCTCTTCGGTGTGAGTTTTGGTGAAGATGGCTTTCCAGACATTACCTGGCTTGGGAGAAACAACAGATTGTGGATGTGCAGTGAAACCTTCAAACCATGGCTGACAAGGGAAGTCAGGGACAGCATAAAAGCAAAAGAGAAAGGATACAATGTGGTGAAGATTGGTGGGAAGCCAGAGAATTAAAAATCAGCACAGATAAAGAAGCAATAAGGGAAGGGGCTGGGGGAGCCGGTAGAGAAGAGGGAAGGGCGGTGAAATATGAGACTAAGCTAGCTAGTAAATTGAAGATGCTTACCAGAGTTCTTTTTTTAAGATATCTAAAAGGTAAGAGAGTGGCAAGAGTGGACATTGGACAGCTGGAAAATGAGGCCATAGAAGTACTAATGGGAAACAAAGAAATGGCAGAGGAACCTGAATGGTTACTTTGCATCTGTTTTCACAGTGGAAGATGCCAGTGGCGTACCAGAACTTCAAGAGAGTCAGAGGGCAGAGGTAAGTGTAGTGATCATCGCTAAGGAAAAGGCGGTGGAGAAGCTGAAAAGTCTGAAGGTGAATAGATCACCCAGACCAGATGGAATATACCCCACAGTTTTGAAGGAGATAGCTGAGGAGATTGTAGAGGCCTTGGTGGTAATCGCTGACACTGGAGTCAGGGAAGGCCCCAGAGGATGGGAAAACGGCCAATGTAACATGCCTGTTTGAGAAGGGAGCAAGGCAGAAGGCAAGAAACTGTAGGCTGATTTGCCTGATCTTGAACGTTGGTAAGATTTTAGAGTTCCTTATTAGGGATGAGATTGTAGAGCCAACATGACTTTGACAAGAGGAGGTGATACCTGACAAATATGTTCGAATTCTTGGAAGAGGTAACAAGCAAGCTAGACAAGGGAGAGCTAGTGAATGTGATCTATTTGGATTGCTGAAAGCCTTTGACAAGATGCCACACAGGAGGGTGCTAAATAAGGTAAGAACCCATTGTGTTAACGTCAAGATACTGGCATGGATTGTCTGACTGGCAGAAGGCAGAGAGTAGGGATAAGGAGGTTTTCGTTTTCAGAATAGCAGCTGGTGACTAGTGGAGTTCCACAGGAGTCACCATTGGGACCACAACTATTCACGCTGTACATTAATGATCTGGATGACGGAACTGAGCGCGTTGTTGCTAAGTTTGCAGATGACACAAAGATAGGTGGAAGGACAGGTGGTGTTGAGGAAACTGGGAGTCTGCAGAAGGACTTGGACAGGCTAGGAGAGTGGGCAAAGAAGTGGCAGATGGAAGTCAATGTGGGAAGGATGTAAGTTATGCACTTTGATGGGATGATTAGAGACGTAGACTATTTTGTAAATAGGGAGAGGCTTTGTAAATCTGAAGCACAAAGGGACTTGGAACTCCTAGTTCAGGATTCTCTTAAGGTTAACATGCGGTTCAGTTTGTAGATAGGAAGACAAATACAATGTTAGGATTCACTTCAAGAGGGCTAGAATAAAAGACCAGGAATGTACTGTTGAGACTCTGGTCAGACTGCATTTGGAATGTTGTATGCAGTTTTGGGTCCTGTATTTAAGGAAGGATGTGCTGGTATTAGAGGAGGTCCAGAGGAGCTTTTCAAGAATGATCCGGAGGATGAAGGGCTTGTTGTATGAGGAATGATTGAGGATTCTGTGTCTGTACTCAATGGAGTTTAGATGGATGAGGGGAGATCTCACTGAAACTTGCAGAATACTGGGAGGCCCAGATAGAGTGATGTGGTTTCCACTAGTAGGAGAGATTAGGACCTGAAGACACAGCCTCAGTGAAAAAAATGACCCTTCAGAACTGAAATGAGGAGGGGTTTCTTCAGCCAAAGGATGGTGGATCTATGGTCCTCATTGCCACAGAGGGCTGTGAAGAGCAAGTCATTGAGTGCCTGTAAGACAGAGATAGATAGGTTCATGATTAATTAGGGGATTAAAGGTTTCAGGGAGAAGGCAGGAGAATAGAGGTGAGAAACATATCGGCCATGATCGATGATGGAGCAGACTAGATGGGCCAAATGGCCTAATTCTGCTCCTATGTCTTATGGTCTTATCGTCCACTATTATTAATGCAAGTTCAGGGATTGAAGAAAAATACCATGAACTTTGGTCTCCAGATCTTATGGGCTAATTTGTGTCAGTGTAGATTAAAAACTGCTTCTCCTTTCAGGATACAGGCAGTGCTGCTGCAGTTCTGAGAGACTGTTACTGATGTACTGACTGTCAGGAACAGAGTGTTCCCATCTTCAGCATCTGTATTGTACAGCACTGGCTTTGTATTGCAGCTCAGAAGTGCACTTAGTCTTTTTATTTTACTTTTTGCAAAGAAGGCAATCTTTAAAATCTCATTTATCTCGAAAACACTTCAATCAAAAAGAAATGAGCTCTGCTGCCTTGGTGGTTACAGCCCAGCATACAACAGCTGTCTATACTCATCAAAACTGAAGCTGTTTCAGGTTGAGCACCTCCCTCTCTGTCCAGATTCCTTGCTGTTCAAAGCTGTTGATGGGATGGACCTCAATTAGATTTCCAAATGTCCATCACCAGGTTACTGGAGTCTTTTCTGGATGGCCATCGCTGCTATCGACATCACTGCTAAAACAAAATGGAGAGTGGATATCATGATATCAACAGATGTTGATTAGAACAGCTATTACGGAATTTATAGCTTTATAGAATTTTACAGCACAGAAGGAGGCCATTCGACCCATTATGTCTGTACCAGCTCCTGAGAAAGCTACCCATTCTCTATCTCCTTAGCCTGTATATATCAAACCCTCTTTGAAACTTCCTATGGAATCTGCCTCCATCACTCTCCCAGGTAGCTCATTCCAACTCTTACCAATTCTCCAAGTAAGAAAGTTTCTCCTCATCTCAGTCCTAGCTCTTTTGCTGACAGTCTTGGAATTGTGACCCCTGTTTACTGATATACCAATTAGTGGAAACAGAATATCCTTCTTTATCTTGTCAAAATTGTTCACAATTGTGAACACCTCAATAAGGTCACCTCTTAGTTTTCTCTGCTCCAAGGAGAATAAGCACAATTTCTCTAATCTTTCCTTGTATCTAAATTTCTAATAATTGAAAATTGTTATGTAGAAACATTACATACCACAGGCACACAAGTGTCTGGGCTAACACTAAGCTATTATTGTTAGAATAATGGAGCATGTTTTCAATAGAGTATCATGCTTCATGTGACCTGAGGTAAGACGTAGTGTGAGATCTTTATATCTTCAGGTCACATGCTATACACAGTGGTGATATCATGAGGATGCCCCATAAAAGTATATTGACATACTGATTGTGAGATACAACACAACAGTATTATTGCTATTTCTAGGCCAGAGGCCTGGTCTCAGGATGTGATGACAATGGAGCTGGATCATGACATGTTCAAACATGTTGATTTTTAAAACATCTTCTTAGAGATTTTAAAAATGTGAAATGTTATTTTTTCTTACTTTACCTCACTGTCCTTTGTCTCATTTAAAGTTATAGCGATATACAGCACGGAAACGTCCAACTCATCCATGCCAACCAGATATCCTAAATAAATCTAGTCCCATTTGCCAGCATTTGCCTCTGGCTGCTCATTCCCATACATGCACCACCCTCTGCGTGAAAAAGTTGCCCCTTAGGTCCCTTTTAAAACTTTCCCCTCTCAGCTTAAACCTATGCCCTCTAGTTTTGTACACCCCTATCCCGGGGAAAAGACTTTGTCTATTCACCCTGTCCATGATTTTATGAACTTCTATAAGGTGACCCCTCAGCCTCCGATGGTCCAGGCCAATCAGCCACTCACTATAGTTCAAACCCTGTAACTCTGGCAACATCCCTGCAAACTTTTTCTGAACCTTCTGAAGTTTAACGAAATTTTTTTATAGCTAACATTTCCCTTTCTCTTTGTTTCTCTTTCTATCCCTGATTTGATTCAAATTCAACTGATTTCCTTCTCCATCGTTTGTCTGTATCTTTCTCGATTCTTAGATCTCAATTAGTTAAGGAGGTAAGTTGCTGATCCTATCATTCACTGAGATCTCTGTCACCCTCACCTCGCTGTTATCAGCTCACAATCCCAGTACTGACCCTCTAGGGACAATGAGGCAATCACTCAATACTGACATCTGCATAATGAGGCACTGCCTCAGTACTGATCCTCTGACAATGACACACTCCCTCAGTACTGAAGCTCTGACAGTGCTTCAATCCCTCAGTACTGATCATCTGACAATGAGGCACCTTTATTTCTGACCCTCTCACAGTGCTGCAATATCTCGGTACTGACCTTCTAGTTGTATGGCATTCCCTCAGTTCCAGCCCTTTAGAATAAGGCAATGCCTCAGTACTGCAAGCTGACGATTGCTGGAGCAAATCTAACAAGGCGTCTTGTGACATGCCCAACTCCAGCAGGATCTGTGCCAATGAATCAATGCTGCAGGGCAGGGATCAGGCAAATTCTTAAGTGCAATTGGTCTGCTTCTGTGGCACCTTGTAATTGATGCTGGGAGTGCTGCTTAATGGTTAGTGATATTTGCCAATAATCGGGGGCTATTTGGGACAAGTGGGAATGTTGGAAGGGATGGGGATAGCTTGATTTCTAAACCTTTGCAAGTGTGAGAGCTCCTGCGTTATTAATGTGAAATTTATGTTCTGTCAGGAAATCCCCACGTGTGTCGCCCTTCAGACCAGCAGGAAGTCAGATATTCTAAACATGGGGGAGCTGTTTGCTGGAATTCCTGTTGTCTACCTTCGATTCAAGATCGCTGCCAAGAGCCGGTGAGGTCTTGGCACTGTCCAACTGAGAACTCATTTACCTTTTATTAATTCTCGTGAAGCTCAGTCCATCCATTCTGACTGTCTGATTAATTTAGTGAGTTGACAGCACCATTTAAATTAACACGAGCGTTTGCAATTGGCCCTTATGTGGCTTTTGTCATCCCTCGGTCTCTCATTCAGGGCACTCCTACAAACTCGAGGGCATAGGTTGAAGGTGAGAGGGGAAAGACTTAAAAGGGATCTCAGGGGCAACTTTTTCACACAGAGGGTGGTGCGTGTCTGCAATGAGCTGCCAGAGGAAGTGGTGGAGGCTGGTACAATTACAATACTTAAGAGGCATTTGGATGGGTATATGAGTAGGGAGGGTTTAGAGGGATATGGGCCAAATGCTGGCAAAAGGGACTAGATCAGTTTAGGATATCTGATCAGCGCAGGTGAGTTGGATCGAAGGGCTTGTTTCCGAGCTGTATATCTCTAAGTGTTTATGCTGAATTAAGCACTTCTAAAGGGTAGCCAGTGTTGTAATGTAATAAATGTAGCAGCCAATCTGTGCACAACAAGATTCCATGATCAGCAATGAGATGTTAAGTAACCAATTTGTCTGTTTTTTGTTACTGACGGATCATGGGGGTGACATCGAACAGGATGAAAAAGCAACTTATATTTATGGAGAGCTTTAATATAATGAAACATTAAGTTGCTTCACAGCAGCACTCTCAAACAATGTATGATATCCATGATATGGCCAGATCACCAAATGTTTGGTCAAAAGTTTTAAGGAGAGTCTTAAAGGAGGAAAATGAGGTCGACGTGGTGTAGTTTAGGGAGGTACTTCCAGAGGTTTTGAGCCCAGTCACCTGCGTACACAGCCATAAATGTTGGAGCGATGATCCATGATCCTGGGAATGGTGTTGCAGGCTCAAAGGGCCGATCAGCCCACTCCTGAACCTATTTTCTATGTTTCTAACCAGGAATGCTCAAAAGGCCAGCATTAGAGTAATGCAGATATATTGGAGAGGGTGGTAAGACTGGGGGAGATATTGGGATATGCAAGGATGAGTCCATGGAGGAACTTTAAAAGCAAAGATGAGTATTTTAAAATCAAACTTGCTTGACGCAGAGCTAACATAAGTCACCGAGCACAGCAGTAATAAGACAAGGGGTGGCAATTTTGGATGGCTTAACTTCACAGAGTATAGAACATTGAAGACCAGATTGAGTGTGTTAGAATAGTCAAATCTAGAATTGATCTTCCCTGCTCTTCTTCCAGAAGTTTAGTTCACTACTAATTGTTCTCATTCGTTCATGTTATAACAGGTTTAACGCAAAATTTGACCTGAGGACTTATGACTCGGAAGGTGTTATATTCTATGCTGAAACGAATGGGAACAGTGCCTGGTTCCTGTTTGCTGTTCGGGATGGAAAGCTGGAAGTTCAGTTCAAGAATGAGAACATAGCCAAGGTGACAATTAGTGCTGGACCATTAATCAATGATGGGACCTGGCACACAGTAAGTTGTCTCCAAATCTAAAGCCCAGAAGCAGCCCATTTTGTCCATTGAACTTGTGCTAACTTTCTGAAAGTGTTAAAACATTAGTCTTACTTTATTCACAGCACTGCAGAATTTCTCCTTTTCAAGTACAGCAAGCCTTTTATTAACTGATACCTATGGATTGGGAATATACTCATTGATCAAATATTCCGGTAGATCAAGAGGTCTACCTAATCAATGTAAAAACACACACACAGTAAGATAAACTTAATGCAGGGGGTATACACATCACTGTTGGACTTTATTTACAGCATAAATCACTTAAATAATAATGCAACGTTGCCTCAAATAAAACTTACTGGTAGAAAGCCTTTTCACTTGCACCCTCAACTGACGACACAGACATTGTGAGGTTGGCGATAATACAGTAAACGTTCAGTTTTTCAGGGATGTAATTTTGCTGGTTTATTGAGACTACCTGTTCGTTAGGTGCCGGTTAAAACAAAGTTTGCTGCATTGATCTACCCCCCTTTTGAACATTTGTATTTGGTCTGCCTCCACCACCCCTTCAAGTTCCATTTGCCCTCTCAGGTGAATGTAAATGCCTTATGACATTAGTTCGAAAAGGAGCAGTGATTTCTCCCTGGTGTCCTGGTAATGTCTCACCCAAGCAAAAATAAATTAGCTGGCCATTACCAATTTTCTGTTTAATTTCAGTAAGTGCACCATTGACTGTAATATGCTATGGGATGTTCTGAGTTCATAAAAGGCACCATATGAAATGTAACTTTTTCTTTATATTATTGTTCCATGTTATTGTTGGGTATAGCTTGTTTCTTATGTGTTTGGAGATTTCACCAAGATTTAAATGAAGGTTCTATTTCCTGCACTAACAGAGCTGACCTTACTGAGTGAAATATATGTTAACCGTAACTCCTTATTATTGTCTCCTCTGTGTCTGTGGGTCTGATCATGTCCAGAGCTAAATGACACAGAAACATTTTTCCTTTCAGATCTCTGTGGAAGAAACTCAAAGTAGTGTGTTGGTGAAGATCGCCCAGGAGTCCGTGATCAAAATCAATAGTCCTAGACGACTCTTTTCAGTGGATAATGAGACAACGGAGATAAAGATATCTATCGCAGGTTTACCCAGACAGGCAGATCGTATCCTTCCAACTGTAATCACCAGTTATTGAAACATCTTACACTAGTTTAGTAAACCGCCTTAAAGCAGAGCTAATGGCGAGAGGCAAAGCTGCTCAGTCAGCATTTAAGTTAAAGGGGACAAAAGGAGATTTGACAAAATGAGGAAGCTGGGGTTTTATTGATAAACTTTCTTGCTGTTTGGTCCTTTGTCAAACTTTGACTCCTAAGACCCGTTTAATCATTTGACCTTCCTCAATCTCTTCCGATAAGCAGTTTGCTTTAAAAGGAGATAGTAGGAACTGCAGATGCTGGAGAATCCGAGACAACAAGGTGCAGGGCTGGATGAACACAGCAGGCCAAGCAGCATCATAGGAGCAGAGAGGCTGACGTTTCGGGCCTAGACCCTTCATCAGAAAAGGGGGAGGGGAAGGGGGTT